TCTTGGGTCTCTGTGTTGAGTCCTATAGTTTTAAATGCTGCTTCAAAGGCTGCACAGAATTCTAGTTGATTAGCATGATTAGCTGATTAGCTATTACTACCAGACATACAATCAAGCAGTAAACAATACCCTAATCAAGGAACTACCAGAGGGAAAAAATAAAACAAAACAAAACCCCCACCCCCACCAACACTGGCAAGGCATGCCACAGCATATAAACAGAGAGCAAACCCCATTCCATTCTAGCACTGAAGAAGTTACCTAGCCAGGTAACAAAATGTTTACCAGAAAACAACCAAGCTCAGAGAACCCCAAGGACTCCACAGGGTGACAGTAGTATGAACATGTGCAGATCCATCACCCAAGTGTGGAAATGCTATGGTTCCTGTATCTGGGCTGCAAAAAAATCAGAGTTAGAATTTTCTGTATATCTAGTGGCCATCCAAATTTTTGAAACTCAGATATGGGGATCTTGTGATGGCCTTGAGAAATGCCTCTTAGAAAACATGACAGATGTGGTTATGAGCTTACATGACATTGGGTATATTGATATATAAGTCTGTCTTCACTTACTTTTACGTCCAGCTTCGGTTGTTTTTTCTAATCTGTCTGTTGTATTTGCCTGGATATCATTGCTCTGAGAACTCTGGTCTGTAATGAATGAGCCCAGTGAATACACGTTAATCACAAGCAACATTTCAATATCACTTTGTGTTTCTTTAAATTGAAGTTGACTGGAAGAATTCAGCAGAGTGCCCATCCATACATTATCATATCCCTACAGGAAGCCACTGGTGGTGCTGTTTGGGTTGCCTTTGGTGCATTCAGCAGAATGGCAGGATAGTCCCCATTTTAAAGCTAACAATGTAACAAATTTTATCACACTTGCAAAAAGTAGAGAGCAGGGAGTTTCTATGAGATAATTAAGTGCTGAACGAGTGACCTAACTGCATGATTGGTTATTGCTGTCTTCATTGCATTCACGTTCTCACATTCTTCAGTGGATTCTACAATTTCCAGTGCACATTCCATGCCAGTAACAGGTGTTATCACTACCATAGAAACTCAGCAGCTTAGACACATCTCATGTGTCAATTAGTCTAGATGTTCAGTATGCTGACTTGAGTTATTGCAAAAAGTCTTGGAATTGTTAGATAGAATAAGTTATGGATACTCCATAAACTCAGGCTGTAGATGGCTATCAAAGGGACAGTTCAGTAAGTTCTGATGCTGAACAGTGTCTTCAGCATAACTCTTCTTTCTAAAATGCTAGCCCTAAGCAGATAGTAGTTTTCATATGGAGAACATTCAAATAGGAAATGTTTTTCTTTAGTCTGGATTAATACAATCGGTAGAACCTTCTATTTTCAAATATCTTCCTCAATCAATCAACTGAGATCTCAGTCAAAAGCAATCTATTCATCCCAAAATCTTTTTATATGTGAGGGATAAAAAAAGAGAAAGAGAAAAGGAGAGTGAGAAAAAGAGATATTCTGTATTTAAGTTTAAAAAAAGTAAAGAGAATGGGTAGCTGAACCCACTTTTAGCTCTGGCCCACCAACCAAAGTGTGACTTCAAAGGACCCTCAGTAGAAGAAAGGTTGCCCATCCTTGAATTAGGGGGCATGTACTGAGAGGGTGGGGTTGATCCTTCAAGGGACATATTCCCATTCTAGATTATGCAATAAAACTTCTAGTTCTTGCACTACTGAAAACTTAAAAGAAAAAACTTCATGTGACTTTTACTTTTAAAATAAAATGGGGAGGGGGCACACAGACTGCCACATAACATCATGTGATGGCAACCACTCTCTGAAAATATTGATACCCTCTTTAATAAAGTCTTCCCCAGCCTGGTACTTTCAGGTATATTTGGACCACAGCTCCCATTATTTCCCACAAGTATAGCTGCTATAACAAAACCTTCTGTTTGTTCCCCTGCATGTTGTTCTTTTTATGTGCATCATTTTCAGCTCCTTCAGGAGGCAGAGCACAATAACAATAATATGATTTTTCTGTGATGAATCCCCACAGCTATCCTGGTTTCCCTTTTGATCAACTAAAATGAAAACAACAATGAGAATACCTGTGCTCAAGTGAATTGCAGGGGAGTTGAAACTGTAATAAGCTATCATAGAAGAGGGAAATCTGCCAATGTGGTAGTCATATTTTGTTTAATAGGTCAGTTTTTGATACTTGATTATGAATGAGATTATAAAAAAAATGTCCTACCTGAAATTACTGGAGCCAAGCCAGATGCTGATGTCATAGGATTCTTTGTTGATGATTCAGTTGTGCCTGCTGTTACTTCGATAAGATAAATGACAGTGTGTTAACTGCTGTTCTCAAAACATATTTGTCAAAGGAATAATCAGTATGCTAGTATGGGAAATCAAAGCTCTTTTCTCAACATCCTCAGGTCCCAGCAAAATAAATATATGTAGGAAGAACAAACAGGTTGAGAGGGAGGAGAAAATAGAAAGCTGTGATTGGACTGAGTTGATGAGATCCTAAAAAAAAGAGAGAAAATAATAATAATAATAATAATAATAATAATAATAATAATAATAATAATAATAATAGGAAGAAGAAGAAGAAGAAGAAGAAGAAGAAGAAGAAGAAGAAGAAGAAGAAGACTTGATA